ACAACAAAATATAGAAGATAGACAACTACAATATTCTCAAAGATATAATGATAAAATTCAAAAAGAAACTATATTCGAAATTGGAAACAAAGTATTATTATTCAACATGAAACAATATTCAATAATTGGAGACAAATTTCAACCTACTTGGAGTAAAGAATGGTACATGTAATAGATAGATAAATAAAAGATATTTATAAATAACTCGACAACCAGTGATCCAAATCGAACGAAACAACTACCAAAATGTTCGTCTCACTGAGGCGAATCTAATGAGCTATAGCACGCTCGAGTTGGACAACTTGTTGCCGAGAGATTTACATTTTTGCGAAAGACTCGAAAGGAGACCTTCATGAGTTAATCATTTTATTACGTATATAATTCGAAGTGTGTTTCCGTACTAAAGCAGGGAAACACTAGCTCTTGTTTTTGTTTACACATTAAAACTATAACTAATTCCGATAATTTGACTTTTCTTTAATGTCAAATCGTGGAAAACGAAAATCCATTACGTCGACTCAAGTGTCAATCCTTTTTCTGTTGCCGCTTAAACAAAGAGACATCTCGAATGATAATACCGGCGAAGGATCCTCTAAAAACGATTCAAATAATCACCGTCAGCTAAAACTCCATGATTAACCATCCTGCGATTCAAATTGGTTTAAAATGTATCCTTGGGTTTATCACGGAGAAAAATCATTGAAAACTCATGTTTTGTCGCTGATGTGAGGAAGCCGGTAAAAACAATAATTTCATCAAAGGTTGACCGTCACATTAATATCAACAATCAGTGCCGAGTTAAAATTTATTATTATCGTTACCATATCCCTCGAGAAAATATGGTTAGAATGTAATATTTTGCATGATAGAATAAGAGACCGTAATGTTGCACATAATATGGGTCTACAGCTTTGAACCAACAATAAGTTTTTAATATGATTCAGACAAAAAAAATGAAAGTTTTCAATGCTTGCTAAAATAATCTTCAGACATACACTAACTGAAAACTATGATTTTACTTGGTTAATAACAAGGTTGAATAATAGTGGAAATGCAACTTTATCATGTTTTAAAGGCCTGGGGCATAGTACTTTCTAACTTCATGTTAGCAGATTTCAGTAGCCATCGAAATCCTTCAACTATATTTTTTCATTTCAAACATAATAAACTCCAACATAACGTTCGAGCGAAAATCCAAGATGTTTTATAAACAAGATCTCGTTGTGGTAAAAAAAAATGTTAAGTATCAAATTTAAAAAAACGCCAACCAGAAAAATTTGATAAATTCAAAATCATGTGTTAAATACATGTACTGTATATCGATATCATTTTGCATTTGGGATGATGTGATCAGATTGTTTTTACATATTTAAAAGCCAGGGGTAAGAAATCAGCCACATTTCCTCAAAAAGTAAGTTACAACTTTCAATCATATATAAATAAAACGATAACAATAACAATAAACACAAAAAAATCATTAAAATGCAATTCAACAAAAATTCTACACACAAGGAATTAATCGATCGTTTTCGCTCGTTAATTGATAAAGGAGAGTTAGATGACACCCTACTCTCTTCGCAAATCGAATCTTTTATCGACGTGCAAGCACAAAATAATCCCAGTAAAGTTGAAATAATCATAAAGAGCATGGACGAAAACGTACAATGTACTACTATTCTAGGCTATGTGTATTATCACGGGATCAAAGTTGACAAGGACATTGATCATGCCCTTATATATTATAGAAAAGCGGTTAATAAACTTCACGACTCCTACGCTCGACTTTTCCTTGGATTTCACTATATTCAAAAGGAACAAAATTTTCCAAAGGGTGTTAATAGTTTCCGAAAATCGGCAGAAAGCGGTAACCTGTCTGGCCAGCATTATCTAGGATTCTTCTTAAATATCGGACACGGCTGCATCAAAAACGATAAAGTTGCGTTTCATTGGTATCTATGTTCGGCAAACGGCGGTAATAAGCTTGGCCAGAATAGTCTTGCCTTTGCTTATGAAACTGGTGTCGGGACCAAAAGAAATAAGAAAGAGGCATTCGCTTGGTACCGTAAAGCTGCTGAAAATGGACATGCGAAAGCGCAACACAAACTTGGCGAATGTTATAAAAAAGGCATGGGAACTAAAAAAGATAAAGTGAAAGCGGCTTATTGGTTTGTTGAAGCAGCAAAGAATGATGACGAAGCGAAAGTTAAGAATGATGATGACGATTCTGCTGAAGTTAAGAGAGATACCGAAGCTGTTAAAGTCAATAATGATGATGAATCTGCTAAATAATTGAATTTTAATTTTTATACTATTTTCAGGATTTATTTAAGCTATTATTTTTTTTACTAGTACAAGCTCAACTGAATATACATGTATTTATGAATCTTGCCTTAACGAACAAAATACACAATGAAAGAGATTTTTATATGTATTTATTTTAATTCAATAAAAAACGAAATTCAATTATAAATTCATGAGACTCGGATAATACATATAAATAAAAACAGACAATTCTAAGTAGTCATTTCATAAAAACGAGAATTCAGCATTATATTCCACAAGACATTTTTCTAGTGATTATTGACTTTACACTAACATCATTCTCTTGCCAAGCTCCAACTAAGTAGGAATTTTTCAGCAAGATTATTTTTTACAAAGTATTTGGTAAATTCGACGAGTTCTTTATATTTTTTTAGAAATAACAATTTACTGTGTGTTATAACTAATCTGTAACTTTCGCGAGAAAGCAATTGATTAAAAGCTTATAATAGAAGAAGCTAAAACGTGTACATAGGCAACCTCGTTAAACCGAAGTGGTCGGTGCAATTAATAAAAAATTTTAAAAAATTCGGTGGGGTTTAATTAGTAAATTCGGTTTAACGAGGTAGATTTATTATAGCTGTTCCTGGAACAAACTTCAGTTTACCGGGGTTTTAATTAGTGCTTCGTTTTAACGGGGGTTGACTTTGTACTCCAAAAATTTATTTTTTTTATCAATACATGTATTACAATTAAAAATTAATTGTGTTAGGTACAAGTGACTCTTGTTATAATAAAGGCATCCGGACTACTAGTAAAAATTTTTCAAAAATTTACTATATCGAGAGTTTATTAGTAAATTTACTATAACGAGAGGATTCATTATAATCTGTTTTGGACTGAACTTTATCAATATTTTAATTAGTCTTTACTATAACAAGAGTTTACTATAACGGGAGTCACTTGTATATCTAATTCCAGCAAATAGTAAAGCGACAGCTATATTCTTCTGGTGGAAAACAGTATTAACAGTAGATTTGTGATTCTCCAAATCAGTTCAGTATTGATAGGTTCTTCTTGAATATAAGATGTGAATTAACAATTTCTTCAATAAAGCTAGTAGAATCATGTGAATAATTTAAATCTCACAAAAATGGTAATAATATATAAAATAAAATAATTGTTAAGATAATAAAAAAATAATTATCAAAATTATAATATTTATTTTGTAATTGCTTTAGTTTATTAACCAAAAATTTAAGAGTTCTTTGTGATTTTTAATCCAAAAATATTATAACAATCATCAGATTTTCTTATTTTACACAAATCTCTAGCATTAATCAATAAAATTATTCAATAATCATTATATTTTTGCTGAAAAATTTGAAAACTATTCATAGATCCTAATAAAATTACATCTTATCAATATGAAAAAAGTTCAATACTTGCAAAATTTTTATAATTTAAACTATTAAAGACACTCTAATATTATCTCTATTATTATTGCAAATATAATTATAATAATATTAAAAAAATTTTGCATGATTTTGTCTTAGTATTGTATTTTAGCAATCTTATAACTAATTAATATATAGTTTTTTTCAGTCTCCCAATAACTTTTGTTTTTATTTATATCTTTTTTCTTCACATATAAAATACTAATCTTTATCAGCATTCTCTTTAATGAATGCAATATAGAAATTAATATAGCAATTAACAAGATTTTATTTAATTAGAATCTGATTTCTAAAAAACTTTCAAAGTTTATAAAAATAATGTGTAATATTTTATTATCTCCAATATCTTATTGAATACTGTTACACATTTTTCACTGATAGAGTAATTAATTAATAAACGTGAACAAGAGTTGGGAGAGATAATTAAACAAATATAAGAGAAATGCGAAAATAATATCTAAGTCCTATGCCAATTTCTACTGAAATTATTATAGTTTGAGAGGGAAAAAGGATAAGATAATAGTGTTTCAATTAGGTATAGTGTTCCGAATAATCATACTAACTAATTAATTTATGAATTATTTAATTGAAGTAACTAATAATTTAACTAATTAATTAAAATATCAAAAATAACAA